TCTCTCTCTCTCTCTCTCTCTCTCTCTCTCTCTCTCTCTCTCTCTCTCTGTGTGTGTGTGTGTGTGTGTGTGTGTGTGTGTGTGTGTGCTGCTGCCTGTTCATATAAATCACAAAATAAGAGTAATAGATGAAGCATAACTCATTTCCACGTTCTGTGTACACCGAAAGTTGGGGGGAAAAAGTAAAAAATCACTGAATAAAAACTGTGTACAGATACGCTATTATTATAGCATTAAGCTATGTGCGTCAGGAAACTGACGAACCTACGTACAACCATGCACACGAGTTTTTCTAGCGGCGTGAGTCAGGCGTGACGATGACGAGCTTCTTGCCGCGTTGATCACGGCTGTATCTGGTTTCAACGTACGCTTTTGGCAAATCGGATCCTTTTTCTCTCTAGGGAGCATCATGTCCAGTTGAGCATCATGTCCGGTTGAGCTGGAGGAGATCATAGTCCCCCCGCACACGCATCCTCTTGTCTCTTCTGTCTGTCTGTTTGTCGTCTCTCTCTCTCTCTCTCTCTTTATCTGTCTTTCTGTCTGTTAAATAGGCCCCCTTGCATCGCGAATATCAGATCCAGCTGTCTTTTGAAACATCCGTTAAACTTGAGGCGGCATAGATGCTCACGGCCCTCTGCGCAAGGAAAAAAAGAAGGAAAAAGAAAGAACTAGAGATGAAGCATTTAACGTCGGCAATCATAACAGGACGCACACCGGGGCAAGTAAGTAGGCATTTTTTCTCCTCGATAGACTTGACCCTGTTGGTCGAGCGATCAGCGGTAAATGCATGCATTCCTTCTGGATATGTGTGATGTGTGTTTTCATGTTCCACAAAAGAACAGGATCATGACCGTGCCAGACTGCTTCGTCGGACTTTCACCGACTCGTCAGGAGGTTGAAACCCGACAGTCTGCCAGGGGCGCATTTGACTGATAGATGAGGACTCACCACGTCGCCCAGAGTTAGCCATATCCCTGAGAAAAGCGGTTGAATTTACTCACACTTACCCTGCAATCCAAGCGGACTGTCGATCCAGACCCTTACAACAACGGGAGTAAGTCTGAGAAACTACCGTCTTCCCCCGAACACAACGCACCCTCGTTTTGACTGTGTCTGGACGGAAAGATAGTCTGTATACATTCATTATCAGGGTGCGTTATGTTCGGGGGAAGACGGTAGTCTGTCACAGCCATAAAACCCACTCTACCCACCCACTCTGTCAGGGATATCCACTGGAATGACCGGCAGTGCACGTGTCTGCCTGTGAGTGCATGTGCCTCTGTGTGTGTGTGTGTGTGTGTGTGTGTGTGTGTGTGTGTGTGTGTGTGTGTGTGTGTGTGTGTGTGTGTGTGTGTGTGTGT